AGGAACTATTTGTTATTTTCCGACAACAATACAAATGCAAATACACACGAAATTGACACTCTAAGATGCAGTGCTATAAAAAAAAAACACGCAAGTTCATCAAAAATATTCAATACACTTACGCTTAAATACGCATCTGCGCCACAGGTAGGTGTAAATTATTGATTACCAATATTAAACCCTATATTCGCTTGCCGCAGCCACCTCTGAAATTATGCTAATTTATGTATCTATCAATTCTAAATAAATAAAATATCTTTGCATGCGTATATCTTTGTATGCATATACATATCTATGTATGTACGGTGGCGAGAATGTAGATAGAGAAAAGATATTTTAGCAAGTTTTGACTGTTTTTTCTTTGTTCAAAAAGTGTAATTTTTTTTTACCAAAATACATATAGCTATCTAAAAAAACAATGTAAATAGAAATTTCAAACTTTGTTGAACATTTATAAAAATTCGACGAATTTTAACAAATGTTGACAAAAATTTTAAACTTTCTAATAAAATATTTTAGATTTTTGAGTAAGCAATTTTGTAGCCCATTAAATTTTGATATAATAAAGTGCAAGTTTGAAGAAGCTAGCGATTACCGCTGATTTTTGGCAATTTTTCGCGCATTTTTTTCCATACAAAGTATGTTTGACCATTTTTTTGTATGAAGGGAAATGAGGTTCCCCTTCTACAGAAAAAATTTGAAGTTTGAAATTTCGACTTACGAAGTTTTTGTTAGATAACGAGCTACACTTTCATACAAAAATATGAAACATTAAGTAATCGAAAGCAAAATAGCCAAAAAAGGCTAAAATGTCTCTTCTTTATTTATATTTTTGCCACTGTATATATTCCAAACTCACTCAGCAAACTTTGGAGTGCTGGTGCGCCATGGCGGCTTTTTTGCCGCGGTTCCAGAACAAAGCAGACACTTGCATATAAACATGTGTATCCCCACACGTACCCATATTGGTATGTATGTATATAAGTAATGTAAAATAAAAATAACAAAGCGAAAAGCAATGCCAATGAAAAAGAAAAGCTGCTGTTGAAGATTAAAACAGGAGGCTGGAGGAGTGTGGCTATTGAAAAATCAAAAAAAAAAAGCGAAAAAGAAACTGAACAATGTTGTTGATTTGGGTCAGACCAAGGGCATCTTCTTGTCTGCCCGACCGCTAAGTGCAGACGAATGAGTGGCTCTTGAATGGGAGCCAAGTTGGGAGCAACAAGTGCAAGCACGAATATGTCTGGTCGCAGCTTTCTTGTTGAGCTGCTGTCCATCTGTAACTTGGGCGTTCGGGCGATTGGCATTGTGCTGTGAAATCGCTTGGAGCGCAGTGAAATCGATTCTGGTTTTATTGTAGTTGTAGTTTATTTCTGTGTTTTGTTTGCTTTACTTGTACGAAAGCCAAAAAAGTAGGTTTTACGGTTTTACGGTTTTGTTTTTTTTTTTTTTTTAGTAAATCCCGGACCGGTATATTTTCTTTATTTATTTTAACTGTTTTACCATCTCTTAGCGTTTGTTTGATTTATTTATAGAAAGTGGGAGTGGCGCGTTAATTCATACGGGCGGTCTGCTAAGTAGCAGGTGCTTCGTAAAAAAGGTATATGTATCAAATTTGGGATTTTAAAATCTTGTTTTGAAATCGAGCGCATCGAAAATTCGGACCTGCTGAATCAAGTAGTCGACTGAGCCTCAAGGTATAAAAAATTTCTTCACTCGTGTATCTATAAAAATATACATCTAGACAAAGTAAGTTGTGCCTTTGTTTGTAAGAACCTTAAATAAATCGGAAAGTATATAAAAAATATAAATGTAGATAAATATAAATGTAGAATGGAAAGACCAAGTGGAGAAGGACTTGGCTTTTCTAATTGGCGTCAGTTGGCACAGAAGAGAAACGACTGGAGTGCTGTTTTGGACTCGGCCAAAATCGCTTAGGCGGTTACAGCGACAAAAAAGAAGGTGAAGAAGTTATTATTTCGCCCCAACATATTGCACCATGGGTAATTTGATCAGTTTTTGTGGAAAAAGGTCGATTTTCGTAATTACATACTAGTATTTGATAAAAAGAAATTTTCAAAGCAAATAACGTTTTTGTAACAAACGAACGACAACTGCTTAGCAAGTGGTCAAGGTCGTTGTCAGTGAGTGTAATATTGGATTCGATTTGGGGTTCTGTTTTTGAAGTGAAACTTCTTTAGCGTCGGTTGGTTGGTGGAGAGTAAATTGGCAAATTCAACGGAAATTGCACACGGAAATGGTGCAACGGAAGTGGATAGGACGGAAACAAGTGCTTGTTGAGTGTATGCACATGCTAATAAAAGGTTAAAGAATAGCATTTAGAAAAAGACCAATACAAGAATGAAAGTAAAGGTGATACGTACATAGATAAATAAAAGGATAAAGGCAAAGGTAAAAATAAAGACAAAAAAAAAAGATGCGAAAAGATAAAGGCAAAAATGAAGACCAAGGTAAATTTAAACACTTAACATATATAAGAGCAGAAGTGAAGGGAAATATGTAGATGAAGAAAATGATAAACATAAAAGTAAAAACAAAGATAAAATTAAAAGTAATTATAGAGAAAAGGATATAGATAGAGACACAGAGACTCAATCTGGGAACTATTTTGGGATTTTCGGGATTCTCGGGACTTATTGATTTGATAGTCGATATTTTTATAGATTTTGTTATCGAAAATTTTATGAATATTGTCAGCGATTTTGCTATCGATATTTTCGGAACTTGTGGACATAATCGATATTTTTATCGGTTTTGTTATTGGGTTTGTTATCGATATTTTTACCGAATTTGTTATCGATTATTTATCGATTTTGTTATCCATTCTTTATCGATTTAATTATCGATTTTTCAGCATCTCCGCCTGGTATACTCTGCAGTGGTCCGGAAGGCGAAAATATGTTCCCAGTTCCAGCTCCGAGGAGAAGACTCCTCCCCCGACCTTTCCGTCGAGTTTGGAGCCATCAGTGTAAATGTTTATAGCGTTGCGTATATGGTGAGGCCTATTAAATTGATTGTAGTTTTTACAATCAGAAAAATGCAATAAATTATGATTGTAATCCTATTAGTAGCACAATCATTGATTGCTAAAAAAATTTATTGCAAATTTTTACAGTTCTGGTCCCTGGGGACCCTGTCGAGCATCTGAGGGTTAAAATAATCTACTAGTGTGATCTAATTATTTTTTTGCCACAAAAATGGATACAATTACTCACATTTGATTGAAATTAAAAAGAAAAAATACTTCAAGCAAAAAGTTGTCTGATGATGAGTGTATGAGTCAGTTAGTTTTATTTATTTTAAAGGTAGGATTTTTATATTTATAAAAGAGCTTAGAAGAGTGCTAGGCTTAAATCTTAAAATCCATTCAAAACGGCGTGAAATTATGTATGCACTTATGTATGTAAATGTTCAAGCGTTTTCCAAAAAAAAAGGACCTATGTTTTTTCATACAAATTATGGCCACCTTAGTTGCGGCGCATGCTCACGAGGCAAGCCAGAAGTTGCTAAGCGAAAATTGCGCCCAATTGCTGAGAGGGTAAAAAAATAATAACAACAATCTAATATACATAGAAGCATACCAAATAAAACCAGTATTGTATTCAGAGGATGAAAGGTGGCACAAAAAACTGGTCAAAACAAATGGCATGAGTGTCGGAGAAACATATATTAACTCTAAGCGAAACGGTTAAGAAAACAAACATATGTATATACATACATAAATCCTTACATATGTACATACTATGCATGTAAATATTTATAAGATGGCATATAAGCATATGTAAACGTGTGACCATGCCTGTGTGCATTGCGAATAAAGCACGTGCATTGTTTATTATCTGAGGAATGTTTGCTGCAATGCCAACAACGAATCCATTTAACCGAAAGCAAGAAATCACCAACAACTTTAAGCGACAAAGCTTTCAGCTTTCAGAATGTTCGACGAGGTGCAGCAACTTAAGAGCGAAATACACCACACAAGCGGTTTGACAAACCAAGCGAAATTTCCCTTTGCTTCAAACCGCCGTCAAACCTTCAAACACCCCCATACACAGCACAAATGGCTTGAAGCAAAGGGAAATTTCGCTTGGTTTGTCAAACCGCTTGTGTGGTGTATTTCGCTCTTTAGTTGTGCGCGATGTCTGTTTCGAACCTTTCTCAGGTTCGACTCGGCGGCTGTTCCAGCTGGTTTTTAGGCTGCGCTTGGGAAATGGCTAGCTGACAAGCCCTTCAGTCGTGTTTGAGACTCGTAGCGGTATTGTTGGGTTTTTAGCTAAATACATGCGACGCGAGTTAAATAAAATACAAAAAATAAAAATAAGATAAAATATAAAACAAAAAATGTAATGTGACAATGGAGTGTGCTTGCATAACTTGTTAGTGTTACTAGAATAAAAAAAATTAAAAACAAAAAAAAAAATAAAGTAAAGTGAAGTGAAGAAAATCAATAAGCGAAAAGTAAAATACATACATACATACTTACAAATAAGAAAACGCAAAAAATAATAAAAAATTTTAATTCTACAACTGGTTTATTCACCGCCAAATGGCAGAAAAATAAAAACTGCCGGCGATGAATTATGTGTGCGTAGACAAATTTTATTTTTATTTTTAAAAGCTACATAGTTGTTGTTTTCTTTGAGTGCGGAGCTCGGCATAATTGCTTTAAATCTTTAAGCGTTATACATTTTGCTCGGCTTTGCGTTAGTTTGCATAATTGTGTATAATATTTCAAGAATAACGTGGAAATTTTGCAAATTAAAAATAAGTTAATTAAAACAAATAGAGTTGAAAAAGAAAAACAAAATTGTTACAAAAGTTTTATGTGGTGATAATAAAAAAATGTGATTTTATTGGCATGAAACCATTATGTTCAGCCGATAAGCAAATAAGTTTATGAATTATATGGTTCGAGTGCATACATATGTACATGCAGGTGCAAATCACCTGAAAAATAAGAGAAAAATGGATTTTTAAACACCTTTAAGCTGAAGCAACAAAAATAAATAAAGGGTAAATTTTTTTCGAATATAATTTTTTATATAAATACTAGGGTGGTATTTAAAAATATCAACATCATGGGGCACCCCTTTTCTTTTTTGCTATTTACAAAATAAAGGCATCTATGAAAATTTCAACATTTAAAGCAAATTTAAGGGGTCGCTCCGTACTACGGCTTTTGAAAAAGTTGACTTTTTTGTTTTAAACCGCAAAAATTTGATAAAATGTTTACTTTGATCACCTATAACTCCGCGAGTTTACGATTTTATATGAATAGGATTCAATAAAATTTAAAATTTATCTGATTTCAATTCAAAATGTTGTAGAATTTTTGCTATAAAAATTTTTTGTTGAAACCCTGGCAGCGAGCCTTAAAATTATTTTTGTAATTTTGATGTCTTTACTTTGTATGTAGAACAAAATAAACGGGTGTCCCATACAAAATTCAGATGTCCATATTTAAGGACCACCCTTATACATACATATGAATCTGTGTACATAAATAAAATAGGCTTTGTAAACTAACTAAGCTTTACTGGAATCGTCATATAAGCTTTATAAATGCCAACTCAAAATTATATGCATTATTTCATCCCTACGACTTCTAGTCATCCTGTTTTCAGTACCGATCTCGACCCCGTTAAAGGAATGCCGTTTGAAAGATTATGATGCCCTTGTTCTGGCGCAGTGATTTCCCTTTCATGCGCTTTAAGTAGAAATTTTCCGCTATCTTTATTGTAACTAAAATTTTGGACTTAAGTAGTACTGTAAGAAAGTATCGATACCCGACAAATATCGGATCTAAAGTATCGATACCTCTCGTTTCGGTACTTTTGGCTATAAAGGTATTCCGTATGAACTGGATTAAATTAATCTTTTTAAGTAATAAATTTATCATCCTCGGTAGATTCTAAACTCCGATTAATGTAGAAACTGAAAATAAATAAAACAACATAATACAGAAAAACTACATGCTTAATGATGAATGGTATTTAACAGAAATAATACCTCGAAGAAGTTTAGAAGAAGTTAATCTCGTTTAAACTTAGAAACTTGAGTTGAGCACTCAGTGTCCATATTCATGTTTGATGTTGTTATCATAGGCAGATATGTTGTATCTTGGGTTATAAGTTGGTACAGGTAAAGTAACGGCTTTTTTATTGTGAGTTCTTATAAAGCTTAAATTTCCATACGAAATTTCTGGGGTGGGCTACGTTGAACAGTTTATTTTTTTTCTAAACTTTTTTGTCATCAACCACTAAAATTACTTAGTATCGAACGAAAAGTATCGAGTATGTACTAATATTTACTCGTATAGTTTCATCCCTATAAATTTCTCAAAGCTTTTTAGGTTATATTATGTTCCTAAAAGTGCTGTGGACTGCTCTAGACCTGGTAGATTATCCGCAAGTCTATCGGCAATCTTGTTTCGTGAAATATAAATATGTTCCGGAATCCAGATAACCCAAACTCGATTGGTCAAACCAAGAGTATTCAGCTTATCAAGCCACTCCATCACCTACTTAGATGTTACCTGATGAGAACTGAGGGCATTGTCAGCCAAGATACCGATGTTCTGATTGCTGCGCTTCCTTCAATGGTGAATGTTTTAGCTTGGAAAGTGGACATGGATTCCTAGTATATTAACCTCGGTACCCTCTTTAGTCAAAGAACCATCAGTGTACCAGGTTATCATGTTTTGATTTATCCGATGTGTCTTGAATATGCCTGCCCAGCACTTATTATTACTGAGATCTAGTTTGAATCTCTTCATAAAGCTAAACCTCGGATGCGTGGTATCCATTGCTATCGCAATTGCAAATCACTTAAATAAGAGTATTTCTTCGTCAGAATATCCAACTTACTGCCCTGATATTGTTACCGGTCATCCTTAGTAAAGCAGTTTTTCGCCTGAGTCCGTATGTGAATATCTCAGTATCTTTGGTGCGCATCTCCAGCTCTTTCCTGGCATGGACCTGTACGCCATAAATTATCTTATAGCTTTCTTCGAAGTTTCTTCCACGTGTGCTTTCCAGAGTAGTTTTTGATCTAATATTACTGCTCTTTTTGGCACGTAATGTTGGTACCATATAGGCTTTCGTTTTCGAGTATCAAGTTTATATTTTCTGGAGAATGGTATTAAGTGTAGTGGTTTTTGCTGAACCTACATTCAGCCCCACTTTGGCACACATTTTTTTGGTTAAATTCAGCCCTGGATGGACTCTATCACACAGAGTGTTTTCGAATTTTCTCCTGTATATTAACATATTATTACTTACTCGATATGACGACATCCAGAACACCAAGAGCACATTTTCTATGCAAACAATTTGCAGGAAAATCTGCTGCAGCCCTCGGATATTTATTCGGTAGCACTTGTTGGCAAGAGCTTATGATAATCTAGCGGTAAAGCAATCATTTGCAAAACTACAACGGTACATCACAGACGCAATATGAGCCTACCGCACGGCAGAATTATAGGTTATTCTCGAGCGCACGCCACTGTACATTAGCTTAGTGCAGGCAGCCAAACGATCCCCGATAAACTTTACCAGATTCCAGGATTATGGAAGAATAACTCAAGTCTTACGGGATGCCATCTGCAAAATTGTTAAAATTTTGTTTACCTTATTTTATACAGGGACCGAACATAACAGTTATATATGAAAACTGTCTTGGGAAAATTCACTATGAAGGAAATGTTCTACAACTAAGTGATACATATCAAACGATTTTATTTTTCACCGAGACTCAATATTTAAAATAAATTTTTATTTGCAATTTTTATGCAAAATTAAAATAATAACAATTACTTTTGATTTATATATTATATGTCTTAGATGAAAGCTATTGAAGACTTTTATTTATATAAGAAGGTTTTGGGAAACAAAAGTTTACTACGACTTATACAAATGGCTTTTATAAGTATGATTTAAAAAATAAAAGTCAGTGACTGATTTTTATTTATGACTTTTATAAATTAAAGTCTTCGATAACTGCTGTCTTAGACATAATTTAAAAATCAAAAATAACTTGCCAATTATGTAGATGAAAATCAAAAATAAGTGTTATTTTGGATTCATAAAATAAAAGTCCGAAATAACGGTTATTTAAGGAGTAATTAAATAAGAGTCACAAAATAATTGTTAAAGAATGTTTTTTTTAATAAAAGTTGTAACTGTTAAGGTCTCTAATTTTATAGCTTATACCGCAGCAGGGTTAACATTGACTGGGGCCGACTCTTTTGGGCGGCATTATAAATACTTCTTTATCACAAATTAATGGGATGAGATGACAAACCCATCCCTTATTATGACTACTATAGTGTGAGCTTTTGAATTCGCTCCATACTTTAATATTTCCGATGCTGCATTGGCAGGACCTGCAACTTTATATTTTTTCAGTGATTTTAGCATCTGAAATCTTCTTGGATTACAATAGTCGTCGAATATAGTATTGTTGTTGCATACGTTAAAGAGAAATAGGTCAAAAAGTTGCCTGAATTAAGGCAAGCGGAAAATTACTATTCCTTTCTTAGATCTCTCTCAAAGTTAATTTATTATAAACATTTTTTTTCGGCACCTTCAAAATAGACAACTTCCTGTCTTCGCAATACAAAAGTTTTCGCATTGAATCTGTTTTTTGCATTTTACGAAATCGTTTCTCATAATATTGAGACATTTTTTTCACTAGTTGATACAATCAGTAGCTAAAATTTTTCAGCCGATTGTGACACCTCGAATTCGGGCGATGGCTGCTATACTTTTTTTCGCCACTGCTTGGGCTTTAATATATTCCGGTTTTAAACATTTAGTTAGTTTGAAATTATTTTTAAAAATGCCAACTGTGAAACGTGATTTTAAGGTATGTAAAAAATTAAAGGAAAGTGTGGAAAATTGTTCGACCTTAACGGCTGAGCTCGGATTGACTTATGGTGTAATTTAAAGCAAAACATTATGCATTTTAAGAGAATTTACTGCACGTGTATATTTAAATATCCCGAAAACACGTACGAAACAATTACCTCCGTACCTATAAAACAGTTCTCAGAAACTCAGTTGGTGCTGAGATGCTCAACATTTGCACCCATTCAAGCGTGTGCAGTTTTATTTTTGCTTGTGTGATATTTTTCTTACCTGAAAATAGTAGTCAATCTGCGATCGGCAATTTGAGAAAACACCTTTTTATATCTACTACGTACATACATATGTACTCAGAAACAAATGTAGATATGCGTTAATAGCCAGTGAAAATTAGGTTAGGCGTGCGCTAGAATAAGGAATAATCGAACAAAACCAACCAACTTTGAACAACTACTTATAAACTATTTTCTATATTTAAGTGCCACACCAACAAACTCGTCAACCAGTTAAGTATGTACGCATTTTTTGCGCTTATGTATATACATATTTACATACAGTGCACTCGTGATAACGTGAACTAATTAAGACCAAGGGAGCTCACGTTTACGAGATTGTTCATTTTCGGAATGTAGAAAATTAAGGGAAAAAATGCTCCTACCCCAATAAATGAAGGCTTTTGTAATGTTCCTTTGAGAACTTGTATGGCTTTTAAAGTGGGGGCCAAATTTCGAGGAGCGAGTGAGGATGGCATCGACTGCCCTTTACTGGTGTAAAATCGCCATCGGGAAGATATGAGGTCTCCCCCTCAAGGATATCCTCTGGCTGTATGAAAGCATCATTAAACCTTTTTGTTCGGGTTTTCTCTGGAGCAAAGGAAAGATGAATAGTTATTTTCACGGGAGGGTCGAAGCTTGATGGCAGATTTGAAGGAGGTGTCTTCTGTGAGGGACTACTCTTAGATATTAAATCTATGTTACCGGATTTCTCTGGCGTATCCAAGCAAAGGTAGTTGACATCAAAAAAGCAGCCGATCAGTTGCGCATTTGTATAATACCCTTAAAGGCGGTAAATATATACTATGACCACCAAGAGGCGATGAGAGCCCTGGGATCGCTAGTCTAGTATTGCCTGACCTCTCTCTCTATCACC